CTCCAACCGCCATAGGAAGTCATCAAGTTCCTTCGCGTCCCGTTTGCCATCAAACTCCTTTGGCTTAGGGTAGTCGACCCTTGGAGCTGCCACAACTGTGCTTGTTCCCGCACTACTTGAGGCCTTTTTGCACGCATCAAGGTCCCTTTGCAAATCATCGCAAAGCTTGTCCACTTGGTTCTGGATCACCATGATAGCATCCATCACTTTGATCTCCAACCTCGTTAACTCATTCCTTAGAGAACTTTGGTCCTCCTTGATGGCATCAAATTGTTCCAAGGTGTGGGACTCTAAGGTCGAGAGTGAATTTTCCACCGTCTCAATGCGTTCCCCCATATTAACGAAAACTTCTTCGAGTGGCCAGACAGGGGGAGCCGGTGGGCGACTTCTACTCCGACCATGCTTAGCCTTCTTACCGGTAGTAGAAGGTTCTGTCTCTCGCCCCCTATTTTCATGTTCTATCTCTGTGGTACCGGAACCCTCAACCTCTCGATCCTCCATGCCAATGGTAGTGAGCCGAACTCAAGCTCTGATACCAACTGTCACGGACTTGTTGTTTTCTTCAAGCACTGTGCGGCACTTAGTGTCTCTAACTTCCGCCCCTGCGGTTTTTACACTAAGTCATCCTCTCACTCTAGCGTTGAGGGTCTTAAAACGGCACCAAGTTTGGGATGTGAGCTGTTGCTCGATTATATATTATTAAGGACATTTATGGTGGAGGAGCCACGGGTGTTAGATGTAGTGGTTTAGTAGCAGAGATTTCTCTATTACTATAGGGTTGCATCAAGATATCTTCTCACATTAGTGATGTACAAGCTTACACGACATATTTAAGATGAAGTTACATAGTGTTATCTGTTGACGATATAGTTTTTGTTTAGGAAGGATCGACACGCCACCGATCCGTCATCGATGTCCAGTCCGACGTGTTGGACAATACAAGTGGCATGTCACTAAGAGAAGAGGAGGCACTAATTTGTTGAAAAAAGAGGAGTGTCATCTGGTTGAAAGAAGATGAGACACCATGATAAAAGGAATGAACTCGCTTTTAACAATGCAAAACCCTCCTCCAGCCTTTAAGTTTCCATTGTCTCCCAAATTCATCTCCATTTCTAGAATAAATAACAAAAATTGAAACTTGTAGAATAGAAACACAAAAAAGTATATTGTTCCATTTGTTCTATAGTAACCTCCCTTCCCAGCCAAAAGAAAATAATAAAAATAAAATAAATTGTAATTCATTATTTTAGTCGACGTGTCCTTGTTCGACTTTTCTTGATAATCACATGTTGGCGTTTCTGTGTTGTGTTTTGCCCTAATCACGTGTCTCTGTCTATGCTGCTTAGATTTTAGTTGATGACACCAAAATGGGGTTTAAGTTGGAACTTTGGAGGACTTCTTGGACCATAAAGGTTTTAGGTTGAGTAGAACCAAGACAGAATACATGTAATACCACTTTTACAATTGTAGGAACAAGGATAATAGTGAAGGTACTATAGAGGATTGAGTTGTCTTCTAAAGTGACTGTTTTAGGTACGTAAGTCCATTTTTCAAATCAAGAACCGTCCTTTGAGCAACTTTTTGGTCACATGAAATTATGAAGTGGTAACACACATCTTTACAGGTGCCTTGGCCTTTGATGTGGAATATGCTCGGTGGTTGGAGGAGCACAACCGACGGATTAATGAGCTAAGAGGTGCTGTCAATTCTCACGCGGGTGATGGTGAACTTCGCATAATTTTGGATGGCGCCTTGGCACATTATGATAGCATTTTCATGATAAAAGGGGATGCTGCAAAGGCTGACGTCTTTCATATATTATCGGGCATGTGGAAAACTCCGGCAGAAAGGTGCTTCCTTTGGCTTGGTGGATTTCGTTCATCCGAACTTCTTAAGGTGAGATTATATCTACTGTTTAAAGTGTTTTACCCAAAAGTGATTGGTGAACTAGTTTTCAAAATTTTTTCTCCATATTCTCTTCCTCCCCCCATCTTGAGTAGTCATGCAGCTAATATCATGATTTGTTTCTTTCCTCTTGAAATTTATTGGAGAGATAATATTTTAGTTATATGAAAAAACATGCTCAAACCATCTGAATTCTCTCTCTCCAATTTATTCTCAGTTGGTGCACTTGTTAATGCATATCCTCATTTAATCTATTATAATATGACTTCTCGTTGATGATAAATCATCATCTCTGCTATGTTTGTTTTAGATACATTTTGTCCGTCAATGACTCATCATAGAGTGCTATAAAGAATATTCTTTATTAAGAATAAAAAAAACAAATCAAGCAACTATATTGAAAGGAGTCTGCAATAAATGACAAAAATCAGCAGAAAATGATGCCTGAGCATTACTTATCTGCTATGCAGGTGAGCATAAGAACTCAACATTACCCAACTTTCAGATGAGATATGCTGTATGAAGTGCAAAACATAACAAGCAAAGCAATGCTTGAGACTGCACACATGATAAATATTATTCCTAATATCTATTGCACGTATGTTAATCAAGCAATGTTCTAGGCCTATTGTGAGCCTTCCAGCACTACAACAAGCAACTATATATTTAATTGGTGATCAAGTAGTCAAATAATAAAATTATGCATGCAAGATTAATCAAGAAAAAACAAGAATTCAGCTAACCACTAGTCTTGAATTAAAAATAAATAATAAAAGGTTTCATCTTCATCCAATACATGAAATAATTAGCCTAGCATAATGTTATGTAAATCAGAAAATAAGATTTGGAAAAACATCACCCGGAATAAAAAATAATGAATGAAAGGTGAAAACTCAATTTCTTCTTTGTATTTCTTCAATTCGGACTTTGAATCTTCAATCTCTTGTGATAATCGCCTTTGAATCTTGTGTTAGCCTCTTCCTTTTGGTGAAAATTAGGATTTGATATGCTCTAAGTCGTTCACCCATTCCCCCATTTGAAAGTAGGTTAAATTTGAATTTTAAAGGAATTTGGATAAAGCAGGGAATTTGGGCCGTTCAGGTCCAGAAATAGCCTGCGCGTGCGCCATATAATCCCTTGCGCGCGTGACGCTATAGAATTTTGGGCTGGGTAAATAAACCTCATGCTTGTGCATGGCGAGAGAATTTGCCCGTGCGCGCGCGCGCATGCATGCATAAAATCTTTCAATTGTTACACTTTGGTCCCCGAATTTCATTCCTTATATATTTTGGTTCCTTCTTTGTATTTTCTTGACCCTCCATCTTCCAACTCCGTCTAATTGACTCCAACATCTCTCCAATCGTCAATACTAGGTCCGAATCATCTATTATAATTTTTCAATTTAGTCCCCAAACTTTGGATTAGGTCCACTATAGCCAATTTTCTGCCTCTTTTCTTCAATTCCATGATTTTTCAACGAAATGTACCTAACAAACAAAATATATACAAAATTAAGCCTCCATTCATTTAAAATAACAATAATTGCTCTAATTTAACGGTACAGAATACACTTATCAGAGACAATGTAAAGGCACACTTCAAGACATACAAAGTGTTCAACAGGAAACGATGTGCATCGAAGGGTACACAATATACCTAGGATATAAGAATTGACTGATACTCATACAATAAAAATTACATTTCAAGTCTGAAACAAGTTAATATACTGTGTACTATACTATAAAGAATGAAGAAAAAGAAAATGCAGGGAACAGTATAACAAGGGTAATAACTAGATTTAGATGTAAAGGTGCATATGAAGTGTGAATGCCAATTGTTAAACTTATTCACACAGAGACAGAGAGAAGAAAAAACACGAAATTTATAACGGTCTGGATAAACTCGGTCATTCATCCACTCCTTGGAGCACCTCTCTGAGCACTAACAACGTCGATGTTAATTTCACAGCTACGACTCTTCAATTAACTATATGGATGTTACTTTGAAAAATTATCTAGTTGTTGAATATAGAGCAAGAATATTTGAATACTTTGCTTCCTCTTTTCTTCTCACAATATTACTGTCCCTTTTCCCCTCCAAAATTTAGGTTCTTACAGTCCTTCAGAAACTTTAGGAGAGCAGCAAAAGTAAAATCTACCTATATTAGACGTGATAAGCCCATGCTCTTCAGGTGTCTTCTGCGCCTTTGAGAATCTGAACTCCTGGATTTTACTGATCTATTCTTGATCGGTTTTCCTTCATTTTAGGTTCTTCAGTTGTCTGGCTCTTTGGATGACTACAAATGATCATTAATGAGTTACTCTTCTGATCTCTTATATGAACTCATTTTCTTCCTTAACTTCACAATTTTGAAGGCGTGATCTGCAAACACAAATTTCATTTGTAGTATAAGTTATCAATTTAACCTATTATATTAGAATCTAATCTAACTAATAAATCAATTTTGATTCATATTGCAACATATATTGCACACTTCAACTCCTAAATACTTTGAAATTTTCTCTTTAGGATAACTTGATCCTCCATTGTGATTCTGCTAATGATTTTATCATCCATATTCTTACTATTATTTGTCTTAGGATAACAAGAGGACTCATCTTAGAAAGATCAATGGTAAAATGATGTAAATGTTCTTCATGTCCTGTTATTCCATCTCTTTGTTTTTCAATATGTTAAAAGAGTACATCTTTTTTTTTTTTTTTTGATAAGTGATCAGAGAATTCATTCATAAATCAAGAGATAATATATAGGAAATGTATTATCAATTTAAACAATACAAAAAGGACATGAAATTAGGCAACCCTTCTATATGGTTAGTAGCCACAGTATTAAACCACTTATACAAAGTCAGATAAAACAATTCTCTGAATTGCTCTGTAATCCTTGTTTGGTCTTCAAAACAGCGGTTGTTCCTTTCTCTCCACACGCACCAAACAATGCATCCCGGAATAAGATCCCATACAATCCTACTATCCTTATCACGAAATTTCCTCCTCGATGCCCGCAACACATCTTCAATTCGCCTAGGCATCACCCAATCCAAATGTTGGAAAACAAAAATGCTGTTCCAAAGCTACCGAACACCATCACAATGAATGAACAGGTGGTCAATCGTCTCCCCATCCTTATTACACATATAACACCACTTGGTAGTACAAAAACCCCTTCTTCGAAGATTATCCACCGTTAACGCGTATCCCCGCATAACCGTCCACAATAAAAAGGCCACCCGTGGAGGCAATTTACATTGCCACACCATCTTCCTTGGGAATGAGCTCTGCGCAGGTTCCATTAAGGATCTAAAAAAAGAACGAACTAAGAATAAACCATTCCTTGCCAACCTCCACCTGCTACGATCACCTACTCCAACCTGAATGTGCGCTTCATGCAAAGAGGTCAGAAACAACACATAATCATCTAATTCCCAATCCTGTAAACACCTCTCAAAACAGTATTCCAACTATGACTTCCATTATGAATGGTGAGTAAATCATTTACCATAGTAGATGGCTCCAAGGCAATGTGATGCAAAGAAGGAAAAAGCACCTTAAGCGGTTGATCTCCACACCAACGATCGTCCCAAAACCTTATATTATTGCCATTTCCAACCTCATAGTTCAAGTTATCTCGAAAGTCACTCCATCCTCATCGGATATACCTCCACAAACTCACCCTATAAGAACCACGACCGTCAACTGAGCACCAACCTCCATCTGTATCACCATACTTCGCTCCAATGATTTCTCTCCAAAAACTCACCCTCTCTACTCCAAATCGCCACAGCTACTTGCCTAACAAAGCCTTATTAAACAGGATTAGGCTTTTCAATTCAAGGCCCCCATCCTTACAGGAGAACAAACCACACTCCACTTGACCAAATGTAATTTCTTCTCTTCTCCCATCCCAGGCCAGAGAAACTCCCTTTGGATCCTCTCTACTCTACGTGCCACTGTAACAGGAATAGGAAACGACGACAAAAAATAAGTAGGGAGGTTGGAGAGAGTGGATTTGATGAGAGTAAGGTGGTCACCCTTTGAAAGGTACATACGCTTCCACCCCGCTAATCTCTTCTCCATCCTTTCAATGATTCCATTCCAAATATGTTTACTTTTAAACTTTGCTCCTAAAGGGAGCCCAAGGTATGATATAGGCATATGTGCAACCCTACATCCCAAAATACCTGCCAACTCACCTACGTTAGCAACCTCTCCCACTGGGATAGCCTCAGATTTCCCCAGATTAATCCTCAAGCCCGACACTGCTTCAAATCATAGAAGTAACCGAATCAAATTCCCCAATTGCTCATCATTAGCATCGCATAAAATCAGTGTATCATCAGCAAATAGCAAATGCGAAATCTGTACATGTCCAATTGTAAAGCCCCTAATCAAACCTTCCTCCACAGCTTTCTCAAGCATCCTACTGAACGCCTCCATAACAATAATAAACAACAATGGGGACAGGGGATCTCCTTGCCGTAATCCTCTGCTACTTCGAAAATAGCCCTCCAGAGTACCGTTAACCATAACTGAGAAAGAAACAGTTGAGATACAGAACTGAATCCACTTACACCACTTTTCCCCAAATCCACATCGCCGGAGCATATACAAAAGGAACTTCCAATTTACATGATCGTAGGCCTTCTGAATATCGAGTTTACATAACATCCCTGGCACTCCCAAATGCAATCTTGAGTCAACGCATTCATTTGCTATAAGCACAGAATCCAAAATCTGTCTTCCTTTCACAAAAGCATTCTGAAACTTAGACACTACTTTCCCTAGCACCTCCTTCAATCGATTAGCCAATAACTTCGCAATAATCTTGTACACCCCACTAACTAGGCTAATAGGGCGAAAATCCTTAATGTCCACAGCCCCTGGTTTCTTGGGAATCAGCACAATAAATGTAGCATTTGAGCTTCTCAGGAATCTGCCACTCATAAAAATAGTTAAGAATATCTGTAATATCCCCTTGCACCACCTCCCAAGAAGTCTTATAAAATGCAAACGAGAAACCGTCTGATCCTGGTGCCTTATCATCATTCATACTGAAAACTACTCCCCTGATTTCCTTTTCCTCGAACAGTCTCTCTAACCATCTAGCATCCTCCTCTGTGATAGTAGAAAAATTCAGTCCCTCCAACTCAGGCATCCACCCAAACTGTTCCCGATAGAGATTTTGATAGAAACTCATCATTTTGTTTCCAATAACCTGTAGGTCCTCATAAGTAATCCCATTTACATCTAGTAACGTGATAGAATTATTACGCTTGTTTGAATTCGCAATCTTATGAAAAAACTTGGTGCATTTGTCCCCCTCTTTCAACCATGTAACCCTAGATTTTTGGCGTCACGCAATCTCCTCCATCTCCATCAACCTCTCCAACTCCCCCTTTAATACTCCACGTCTCTCCCTCTCCTACCCAATCAACCTAGGCTCTCCTCCCGCTTATCTAACTCATCTATGTCTGAGAGACACTTACTTTTACGCCAATTAATATCGCCCACCACCTCCTCATTCCACCTCTTTAAATCCCCTTTCAACGCTTTTAATTTCTGATCCAGCACAAAGCTGGAAGACCCCCTAAAGTCGTAAGAGGCCCACCAGGTCCGAATACGCTCCCCAAAACCTTCAACTTTTAACCACATCTTCTCAAACCTAAAAGGCTTTCTTCCACGACCCCTTAAATCCCCAGATAATGAAATATGGAAATAATCAGAGTACACCCTCTCTAATCTCCTCTGTATCACATCTGAGTACTTAGCCTCCCACTCCCCACTAACCAAAAACCGATCTATTCAGGAATGAACCAGTTGGTCTCGATTGGAAGACCAAGTAAAATCTCCCCCAACCATCGGTAGATCCACCAACATATTCTCCCTAATGAAATCTGAGAACTCCTCCATAGCCCCTGTAAGTCTTCCACCACTCGACCTCTCAGCAGGAAATCGAACCACATTGAAATCACCCCTAATACATGTTGGGAGACTCCACCATGCCATCATACTGGCCAATTCATCCTACAAACCCTCTCTACTACCATCGGCAATCGAACCATAAACTCCTACAACCATCCACCGGAATCCATCCCCTATATTCCTAAGTGCAAGTGATATGGTGAATAACCCTACACTAACCTCCTCCATATCAAACACTCTAGTATCCCACATGATAAGCACACCTCCTGAAGCCCCCGAAGACTCCAAAAATTGATATCCTACATGCTGTCTGTCTCCTCCCCCGACAAACTACTAACCACGGCCCTTGAAACGAACTCCATCTTAGTTTCTTGTAAAGAGACCAAGTTCGCCCTCCATCCCCTAATCAAATGTCAAATACCCCGCCTTTTCACCTCATCATTAAGCCCCCGCACATTCCAACTTATGATTTTTGGGATCATTTCAACACTCCATCATCCCTCCCCACCATACCTCTCTTAAAGTTTCCACCCTTGATGTCATAATTAACTGACCATTCAAGTTGCTTAAGTTCACGATCACCTTTTTTTCTTGATTTCCCTCCTTGTATGCTCTTCTCTTGTCCTCTATTAGTCTCCAGAGCCTCAAATAGTTCCATGAGTTTGCGTTCATGTCCTTTACTGGACACACCAACCAACATGCTGAACTCCTCAATTTTTTGAAGAACCCAATTCGAAGGTGAGAGCCCATCAGGAAAGATGTGCCCCTCCACTGCTTCCACTGGAACTGCACCACTGTCTATCACCCCCTTCTTTCCGTCGTCAACCCACACCACCAGAGCTTTTTCAGACTCTTGCTCCCTTCCTTGTAGAAGCTTCGAGTACCTCCTATTGTAAGTATTCAAAACCCTATTGGCCAAACCTGTCTCCTCGTAATCTTCCATACCCTTATAAGCTAACCCCTCTGCCAAAACGCATCCCTTCTGATTCTCGTCCGACACTAATCCCTCTTCCGATTCAAATGTATCCAACGCATCCATAGGTGCTGCCTCCAGATTAGCCATAATCGGTTCCCCTTCCTTAGACCAACGTTCTGCCTCGTGAACTGCTTCAAAACCCGAGTATTCATCCTTTACCAACCCCGTCCGAGACTAAGACTCACGAATTGGCTCAATCCAAACATGCTTATCTTTAGTTTGGGTAACTTTCGATGATGATCCCTTAGGATCCAAGGTTGCTAATAGTTGTCCATGGCCTAAAAAATCCCCCACGCTCATCCCACACCTATGACCACAAATTAACCCGCAGCCCGCATCAGACTCACTCCCCACAAGCTTAATTAATTCATCAAATTCCCCTTTCAATGCCTGGATACGTGCCCATATTTCAACAGACCTCCCAAGCTTTCCATGTGTACCTCCTGCACTTGCCTCCACCCTCGTGTGCCTCATTAAATGAGGGTTACTCACACCAACCCTCCTCCGTTGATCGACATTCTGTGAAGCATGTGAATTTGCTACAACCCCAGCATATGTCCTTCCTTGTCGCATGCTATTGTCTACAATTCGACGTTTGGCCTTGTCACCAGCGACAAATGAGTCAACCACAGCCTGAAACGCCCGCAAGATCGATGCCCAACCTTCCCCATTCACGCCCTCCCGTACCATCACAACTCTTTTCTAACGTTTCTTCCCATATTGTGCTATCATCAAGTAGCCCCGACTATTTGCACATCGTTGTGCCAAAAAGGCTCTATGGGATTCGTTAAACTTAGAAGCGAAGTCCGTCAATCTGCTAGTCGCCCTCAACTTATCCACCAAGTTCACCATCCAAAGTGCGCCAAATCTTCCCATGCAAATTGAGTTTGATAACTTTGAGCCCCACTCTGTCATCCTAACAGTGCCGAAATTGTTAACAGAAATTGTAAACTCCTTCGCCTCAACTCGAAAATGACGATCATAGACGAAGCCATATCCATTCCCCAACTTTTTATTTGTGTAAGTGGCACATCTGATGGTAGAATTGGTGTCGTGGCTGAACCGGGGGCATCATGGTGAGTTTTCTGTTTTTCCAGCTGCTGCCACGCGCCTCCTGCGAGGCGCGTGCTCCTCGCCGACCGTCCCCAGGAGTCGGAATCCCCCCCAGCCCACTGGTCAGGCGCGTGTGCTGGGTGGGGAATGGGTTCCTGCAAATCTTGGCAGCGGCGCTAGGGTTTTCACCTAGGGCCGCTGCCTGAAAGAGCGGATGTAAAGGTGGTGTGAGGCCGGTTTTCTAGGCTTTACCGAGCGAGGCGAAGGTGCCGACGCCGGCGGGAATAGGTGTTTGAATTGGGTCGGGTGGTGTATGGGTGGGTTTGGATGTGACGGGGAACATTTTTCTTCTCAAAGCATGGAAAGAATATTCATTTGGATAAATAAAGGAGTACATCTTTGAAGTGTGGTGAAATTTGTCTTCCTTGCATGTAATAACACTTGAATGCCTTCTTTTGACATCTGGCCATTTTGTGCAAATTGTTGCAGCTTCTTATAAATCATTTGGAGCTGCTGACTGATCAGCAGTTGTCATCTATCGATAACTTGCAACAATCATCTCAGCAGGCTGAAGACGCCTTGTCACAAGGAATGGAGGCGTTGCAGCAGTCCTTGGCTGAAACTTTGGCTGGATCTCTTGGCCCATCAGCTTCGTCAGGAAACGTTGCCAACTACATGGGTCAAATGGCAATGGCTATGGGAAAGTTAGGAACTCTTGAGGGCTTCATTCGTCAGGTCAGTCTACTTATCATGTAATTATAACGAAAATGACCATGTTTTGTCAAATCAGTGTCAAAAACCTCCTGCATTTCATTTTTGTCCCCATTCCAATTCCTTTGATGATTTGTTTTTGTTCTTTCATACAAGATAAATTCAAAACCGTACATTATAAAAATTGGAAGAATGTTTGAGCGACAGTAGCCGAAAGATTGTACTAGTGCTAGTCCTCGGTGCATCATGCTCAATTATGTAACTGGCCAGCATGCTCAAACTCGTTTCTATATAGACAACAATCGTTGGGGCAAGCATGTATCTTTTCATAGCCAAGATCAAATGTATTGACAAGTTTTCTCATCTCATAAAATGAGCTTGGAAGTGTATTATTCTCTGGCAGCATGTCTCGAACCAGATTTATAAGTTAGTCTGCCCTCCATCCCCTAATCAGATTTCGAATCCCCAATCCTTTCCCCTCATCATTAAGCCCCCTCACATTCCAACTTATGATTTTTGGCATCATACCATCACTCCATCATCCCTCCCCACCATACCTCTCTTAAAGTTTCCACCCTTGATGTCATAATTAACTGACCATTCAAGTTGCTTAAGTTCACGATCACCTTTTTTTCTTGATTTCCCTCCTTGTATGCTCTTCTCTTGTCCTCTATTAGTCTCCAGAGCCTCAAATAGTTCCATGAGTTTGCGTTCATGTCCTTTACTGGACACACCAACCAACATGCTGAACTCCTCAATTTTTTGAAGAACCCAATTCGAAGGTGAGAGCCCATCAGGAAAGATGTGCCCCTCCACTGCTTCCACTGGAACTGCACCACTGTCTATCACCCCCTTCTTTCCGTCGTCAACCCACACCACCAGAGCTTTTTCAGACTCTTGCTCCCTTCCTTGTAGAAGCTTCGAGTACCTCCTATTGTAAGTATTCAAAACCCTATTGGCCAAACCTGTCTCCTCGTAATCTTCCATACCCTTATAAGCTAACCCCTCTGCCAAAACGCATCCCTTCTGATTCTCGTCCGACACTAATCCCTCTTCCGATTCAAATGTATCCAACGCATCCATAGGTGCTGCCTCCAGATTAGCCATAATCGGTTCCCCTTCCTTAGACCAACGTTCTGCCTCGTGAACTGCTTCAAAACCCGAGTATTCATCCTTTACCAACCCCGTCCGAGACTAAGACTCACGAATTGGCTCAATCCAAACATGCTTATCTTTAGTTTGGGTAACTTTCGATGATGATCCCTTAGGATCCAAGGTTGCTAATAGTTGTCCATGGCCTAAAAAATCCCCCACGCTCATCCCACACCTATGACCACAAATTAACCCGCAGCCCGCATCAGACTCACTCCCCACAAGCTTAATTAATTCATCAAATTCCCCTTTCAATGCCTGGATACGTGCCCATATTTCAACAGACCTCCCAAGCTTTCCATGTGTACCTCCTGCACTTGCCTCCACCCTCGTGTGCCTCATTAAATGAGGGTTACTCACACCAACCCTCCTCCGTTGATCGACATTCTGTGAAGCATGTGAATTTGCTACAACCCCAGCATATGTCCTTCCTTGTCGCATGCTATTGTCTACAATTCGACGTTTGGCCTTGTCACCAGCGACAAATGAGTCAACCACAGCCTGAAACGCCCGCAAGATCGATGCCCAACCTTCCCCATTCACGCCCTCCCGTACCATCACAACTCTTTTCTAACGTTTCTTCCCATATTGTGCTATCATCAAGTAGCCCCGACTATTTGCACATCGTTGTGCCAAAAAGGCTCTATGGGATTCGTTAAACTTAGAAGCGAAGTCCGTCAATCTGCTAGTCGCCCTCAACTTATCCACCATGTTCACCATCCAAAGTGCGCCAAATCTTCCCATGCAAATTGAGTTTGATAACTTTGAGCCCCACTCTGTCATCATAACAGTGCCGAAATTGTTAACAGAAATTGTAAACTCCTTCGCCTCAACTCGAAAATGACGATCATAGACGAAGCCATATCCATTCCCCAACTTTTTATTTGTGTAAGTGGCACATCTGATGGTAGAATTGGTGTCGTGGCTGAACCGGGGGCATCATGGTGAGTTTTCTGTTTTTCCAGCTGCTGCCACGCGCCTCCTGCGAGGCGCGTGCTCCTCGCCGACCGTCCCCAGGAGTCGGAATCCCCCCCAGCCCACTGGTCAGGCGCGTGTGCTGGGTGGGGAATGGGTTCCTGCAAATCTTGGCAGCGGCGCTAGGGTTTTCACCTAGGGCCGCTGCCTGAAAGAGCGGATGTAAAGGTGGTGTGAGGCCGGTTTTCTAGGCTTTACCGAGCGAGGCGAAGGTGCCGACGCCGGCGGGAATAGGTGTTTGAATTGGGTCGGGTGGTGTATGGGTGGGTTTGGATGTGACGGGGAACATTTTTCTTCTCAAAGCATGGAAAGAATATTCATTTGGATAAATAAAGGAGTACATCTTTGAAGTGTGGTGAAATTTGTCTTCCTTGCATGTAATAACACTTGAATGCCTTCTTTTGACATCTGGCCATTTTGTGCAAATTGTTGCAGCTTCTTATAAATCATTTGGAGCTGCTGACTGATCAGCAGTTGTCATCTATCGATAACTTGCAACAATCATCTCAGCAGGCTGAAGACGCCTTGTCACAAGGAATGGAGGCGTTGCAGCAGTCCTTGGCTGAAACTTTGGCTGGATCTCTTGGCCCATCAGCTTCGTCAGGAAACGTTGCCAACTACATGGGTCAAATGGCAATGGCTATGGGAAAGTTAGGAACTCTTGAGGGCTTCATTCGTCAGGTCAGTCTACTTATCATGTAATTATAACGAAAATGACCATGTTTTGTCAAATCAGTGTCAAAAACCTCCTGCATTTCATTTTTGTCCCCATTCCAATTCCTTTGATGATTTGTTTTTGTTCTTTCATACAAGATAAATTCAAAACCGTACATTATAAAAATTGGAAGAATGTTTGAGCGACAGTAGCCGAAAGATTGTACTAGTGCTAGTCCTCGGTGCATCATGCTCAATTATGTAACTGGCCAGCATGCTCAAACTCGTTTCTATATAGACAACAATCGTTGGGGCAAGCATGTATCTTTTCATAGCCAAGATCAAATGTATTGACAAGTTTTCTCATCTCATAAAATGAGTTTGGAAGTGTATTATTCTCTAGCAGCATGTCTCGAACAAGATTTATAAGTTCATCAAAACCGTTGTCTGATAAGCCATATGAAGCTTTATGCTTAAAAAAAGCAACCGAAGCTGACAACTTTGTAAACGTCTTGCAACCAGGATATAAAGGAGTTTCAGCATCATTAACTAAACTTTCAATCTCTTTGTCTCTTCCATAAGGATGATTTTCAGGATCTACATCATGTTGTGCATAGAAATCCTTAAACATCCTACTCGACTCAGGTTGTTCTACATCGACCAAATTTGATTCACTTGGTTGCTCTCCATGAAATACCCAAACCGTATATGTAGGATCCATACCTTTAATAACCAAATGTTCATAGACTGTATCATAATGATGATGCATTAGATTCCTACAATTAACACAAGGGCATGCTATCATCCCTAATTTGCGATTCTCACGAGCTCGGTCAACAAAATTTTGTGCTCCCTCTCTATATTGTTCTGAAAATCTACAAATTAAACATTATGATCATTATATGTTATTTGTTTATTGGATAACTAGATTTATAAGATTAGTTTCAAATTATAACCTTGAGAAGTGCAACCACTCTTTGTCCATTATAGGCATTGGCAGATCCAGGAATTTAAGTGAGTCGGGGCAATCATTGATCGTTGTCCTTCAATACCTAATCCATGAGATTATTTATTAATTTTGTAACTAATTGATTGATGTCAACATAACCATATAAAATAAGGCAAATAGATTCTGTGAGTGATGAAAATAGTTGTTTTTTCCTTAATTCCTACCAGATTCTGAAGTAAATGAGAATAAGAGTGAGATGTAAAATGTAAAGGTGAAAATGGGGGTGGTCATGTCACACATTTGTAGATGCTCTTTTCTATATTGTGGTGATTAAACATGCATTTACAATATATGCATACAAATGATGATGAATCTTGATTGATCAAAATATCCAGATATTGAACTTCTTGCATGGGGGACAAAAAAAAAACTTTCTTTGTTATGATCTTCGACCTGTGTTATGAACCATTCCCCCAATCTTGTGGAAAACCCATAAACTAGATGCTAAAATGACATTAGTAGAAAGGGTCCATTTCCCCAGCTTCAGTTCTGCAAGTTCTGTCAAGATAAGTGAAGTGGAAAGAGAATTAAAGTTTTGTTAATCTAATTACACTTGGACGAATGTTTAATGTCCTGGGATGGCTAATAATAATCACAATGCTGAATTAGTCTCACTCACCCATGTGAACCGAAGTAGATATAAGAAAGGAATCATCAAAATTCTAAATTCTCTAACACAATGTTCACTGGCTATACATTAAATTGTTCAGGGAAGGCATCCATGAACTGACATAGATAGTGTTTTTTCATTGGACCCTATAATTCATGAGGCTTGAGACTTAGCTAACTTAACTAAATGAGATGCTTTAACAATTGTAAAAGGAATAACAGTCAAGCAATTCATAAACCCATTCAAGAAGTATCAAATTCCTTCAGCAAGTCAAGCAATTCATAAACCCGTAGTTGAGAGTCTAAATCCAATTTGTTTCTTTTCATGACCGATATGAACTCCTACTGAATCTCAAAATA